AAATGTTGGTTGTCCAACAAGAAAAAATCTCAAGGACAAAGCATATCCTTCCAAAATCAAAACAAAGTGCCTCAACAAAACCAAACCTGCCTTTGTGACAGTCCTGACTGGCAGGAAGGGATCTTGAGTTGATAAGTCAGCTGTTGTTTCAGTGTAGATCTGCTTGTGCTGACTTTACCTTCCCATCCTGCAAAGTGGAGCTGAAAAAACCCTTGACCAGGAAACTCTGATATTCAAGACAGATCTTTTCTCATGCCCTGCCTGCACAGTCTCCACTGTGGCTGTGAACAGACCTAAATCTCCAGGCACTAATCCCACAGGTCTTTGTGTATTAATTCTTTACAGTGCCTCCATGCTTGCTTTCCTCTTGTGCATGGACTCTCTTTGATGTTCCAGCTTGCAGGTTTTTAAAATGACACAACCTAGGAAGGATTTGGGGAGGGAATAAAACATATGAGAGACACACTCTGGCTAGCTTTGGAACTGGTTTTGTTGTAAGAAAAAAAATTTTTCCTCATCTACACACTCTGTTTTCTTTTTACCCTCCTTTGCTTCTGATTTTATTTTAAGGAGATGGTGCTAGAAAGAGGCATGGTAATCATGTCTGATAAAATTATACAAAGTTGGTTGGAAGATGGTCCTTCAAACTTTTTGAATTCAGCAGTGCTGAAACAAATATTACAGTACCTGTCAAGTTTGTCATTCTTATTTGAAAGTGGTAAAAAGTGAACAATCATTCACAACAAATATCTTCACCAGCTTCACTTCAGACTGAATTTAACACTTGTATGGGCTTAAAAAACTCCTGTAAAGAGTCAGGAAAAGAAAGTATAATTGCATTTCTACTTTCAAACCTAAGGCAGTTTTCTATGAAGGTTTAATCTTTTCAGTGGATGAGGCCAGATTTGAAGCTGTTTCTTGAAACACATAAGATAGAAGTGCTGGGACAAAGTCTGGTTTTCAAATAACTCTGAAATCTCATGAACAGCATGCAGCTAAATAGCATAGCTAAAGATTAAAAAGACTGATCTAATAGGGAAAGCAGATGACCACCTAATATTAAAGCTGTTTTTAAAAATGTATTAACCCAATTTCTAACCTTTCAGTCAGCTGCCTCAAAATTCTCCAGCCTTTGGCTTTGAGCCAAAGCATCACTGTGCTACACAGAATTACAATAACCTATAGACAAATTTAGAAAACAAAAGAAAAACAGAAATCAGCATATTTGAAATTCTGCTTGTGATCTCTTGCTATTGTGTTTTTATCCTCAGTATGCAATACCATTCACCACAAGCCAAGGCAGAGATAAATGGCATGTCAATGCTCTGGTTCTGGGGTTTTCAGGTGTGCCCAGCTGTGCCTCTGGAGTGCCAGTCAGAGGTGGGGTGTGGGCAGGCTTCGGCACATCGTGCTGCCTTAATCTCTGCAGCATTTGGCCCCTGCAGCTCTTCCCCTGATGACACCGTGCTTCAACAGAGAATTTGCTTGATAAAAAGCACCAGCTTAGGAAGTGGTGGGGAGACTGCAAGACTGACTAGGTAAAGAGAGGGCACGTCTGCTGGCAGGCAAGAAAGCAAGGCAAGGAGAAGGGTGAAGCCTGCAGATGGGAGAATTAGTGCCTGCTGTTTGTGGGGCAAGGGCAGAAGGAGCTCCTGCCAGAAATCTGGTGCTGGCAGAGGGATCCATACGCACACGCACACACACGGAAGGAAGCGTGTGTGTATTCATGGGTGCATATGGCTGCGCCCATGTGCTTAGACATGTGGCATGTTTATGCAGATTCCCTATATGTATAAACACACCAGGAAGGGGTCTGCCTTTTCAGAAGTGATTCACAGTTTGGGGTAAGCGAACACTTTGCTTCCGTGCAGCTTGCTTTGTCGGGAGGAGCCTCGTTCCTTGTGGCCTGCAGTCGCAGGCCCGTGAGGAGGCCGCGCAGCTCGGGGCAGTGCCCGCTGCGGCGTGTCCGAGCGCGGCCCGCGGTGCCAAAGCTGACACCGTGCTGCAGCCACGCTGAATTTTAAGAGCAGCCTCAAGGCTGGGCCTGAGGCCAACTTTGCCGACTGCCCACACGTGGGACTGGGTTGAGGGTGAACCAGTGAGCGTGTTCACAGCAAGAGCCCTGAATGAGCTCTGTGTATTTACTTGTCGCGCAGGCAGGTCCCTGCGTGCCGTGCCTGCCCCATCTGCTCTTGTGGCGATGGCACATGACTGACAGGCACACAAAATACCCCAGTCGCTGCCTCAGTTGTCACCTGCCACAGGGGCAGCTGGGATTAGAGCTCCGCTGCAGCTCAAGGCTAGTCGCGCTTCCATCGCCTCGCTGGCTGGGCCTGCTCAGGTGCACGTTTTTGCAGCTGTGTAATGTCAGGGAATGCTTTTACCCCTTCTGTAGCTCATTCACCCCTCCAGAGCCAGGTTCCTACTATCTGCCCCTGCTGGGACCTCTGAGGTTCCCAGGTGGAGGGCGTGGGTGGGACACAGCTTTGTGTCCAGCACCATGGTACCAAGCTGTATCTGCACACTTTGAATGGCAGGAAGCACTGTGCATCAGATAATCACTGCTCAGACACACTATAAAGTTTTCTAGTGACCCAGGAGGAAAGTTTCTAGTATTGAACTAAGCATAGAAGCATAAATATGATAATTTACCATAAGATGCATGAACTGGAAAATTTGCATGTCAGCCAAATCTTGTCTGGCATCAGCCTGAGGTACTGCATCAGCAAATTGTGAAATGAGGTTTTTTTTCCCTCTAAAATTCAGTTGACTTTGAAAAAATAGGCACCCTACATCTGGCCACAATTATACCATTAAGAGAGCAACAAAACAGAGATTCGAATTTTTGTTTTAGTTATTTGGGCTCAGAACTGATCACTGGTTTAAGTGCCCCAACTTTTTTTTTTAGTCTTTGAAGCTCTTAATGCCATGTATCAATGTGCATATCAAAATGGCATTGCTGTGTTACATTGGACAGGGATCAGTCTAGAAGAAGTTTACTATACTGTGATTTATGGCCCCACTTAAAGTGTTTGCTTGGAAGTACTTTGCTGAAATGGGCTGAGTTCAGTTTCATGTCCTTATCCTACAGATGTCTTCAAACTTTTCTTATTGATGGATTTGCCATGAGAAAGGGGACACCTTGGAGCCAAACACATAGCACAAGTCAAAAAATGCAGACCTGAGCAACACAGAGCTTAAAAGAACTACATCAGCAGTTAAGCACCTGTAAGGCAGATAAAAATAGGCAGGGATGGCATAAGAGTATCTGAAATATCTCTTTCCAGCCCTGCGATGCACCCTCATCTTTTTCTCATGCTGAAACGGAAGCTTTGTCACTTGTCAAGAGTCCAAAGCATTCTTGTGTGCTGCAGACACTTACGTTGAACCACTTCCACCAGAGTTTCAAGCTGCTTTCAGGATTGCAGCAACACTGCAGACTGCAAACTCTGCTTGCTTGTCCACATGGAAAGTGCAGCAGCAGCAGCAGCTTCCTGGGGCTGAAGGAGTGCAGGGAGACACAGGCAGCCCTGAGCTGTCTAACACGTGTTGGGTGGTTGCTGGCTTGTGGTATTCCAAGGCCCTAGAGCTGACGGATGATTGTGAAACAGTGGTCCCTCATGAATATAGGATTCAATGCTGCCTGACACATGGAGTGCAGAGGGTGCATCCTTCAGTTTCTCCTCTAATTTATGCACATTGTAAAGCCTGTCCTCTCCAGCATCTGAGAAGGCAATGATTGTGAAACAGTGGTCCCTCATGAATATAGGATTCAATGCTGCCTGACACATGGAGTGCAGAGGGTGCATCCTCCAGTTTCTCCTCTAATTTGTGCACATTGTAAAGCCTCTCCAGCATCTGAGAAGGCAGTGGCCCCATATTCCACTGAGGACAAAAGCCCCAGAGCACAGCCCGTTCCTGTGACAGTAGAAAGGCTCAAGGAATTCTGTCTATCAATTTTTTTGGGTAGAATTGGATTTTTTGTATGAGTCTTGGTTAGAAATTTATGCTGCTGGTTTTGGTTTGTTATAAGTCAACTGCAGTATGGATTTGGCCATATTTGTTGTTCTGGGCACAGATTTTCTGGAGGCCTCCAAATGAGAGGGTGCAAGAGAAAGAATTACAGATGTTCCTATACATCTCTTTTTACTCTGTGAAGTCCCGAGGGTCATTTGAAAATCTTGAATTAAGGTCTTTGTGTTTTCTGTGCCAAGCCTCAGTTAAATTTGCCAGCACGACCCTCTGCTCTCTGGATCACTCTAGCACCAAAGACTAAAGATGTTAAACCAGCGTCAGAGTGATTTGCAACAGTATCTGTGTTATGCAGCAGACTTGGATGGAATTATACAAAATTGGAAATTGGAAGTGCTGTAGAAACTGTGAAGAATATTGCCACCCACCAGGCAGTGGGTAGAGTCCAGTTTCTGTTTCTGGCACCTGGCAAAACAAGGTGCCCTTTGGCCTCTGAGTTGGGCACGTTCTTGCTTTGAATACACAGGCATTAAAACCCAATTGTGGTAAAAAGGAAAAAATTTTAAAAAACCCAACCAAACAGGAAATATCTTAAGAATCTGTAACAAAACAACTACCAGAAAAACATCTTGCCTGTATTTAAACAGGGAGAAAAGGCCAGACACTAGCCTGGCAGAGGAAGACATCAGACATACAGGAAGCAGTGGGAGGCTTAGCAAACTTTGATGGCCAGTGGGCTGGAGACAACGCTGGGCTGAGGGAGTGCCTCCAGCCCACCGGGAAAAGGGGCTTCCAGAGAGCAGCACATGCTTCCCTGTAAAGGACACCATGGGCTGGATTTCAGGAGAGGGGACAGAATGGAGTGCTGCCTGTATGGTTTGTTCCTACCTTTGAGGCCATCAGAAGAAAGCCCTCTGAATCAGTCCCCTTCTCACTGACTGCCCTCAGGTCAGGGCTGCAACAAGATGTGTTGCCACCCCAGATACGTATCACTTATTTCCCATCCGTTCTTCCTCCTCTTTTGCTAGGCTCCTGCCAGCTGCATCTACGTCCTGGGATCAGCCAGAATGCCAAGAGCAGCTGATGTGTTTGAGCACGTATGCTCCCCCCAGCAGAGGATGGGATGCAGCGCTGAGAAGTTCCACATCACCAAAAAATGAAATGCTTCCATTCTGTGTAACTAATCTTATGTCAGACAGGAGGGATAAAGGGAAATGTGTACACCAAGCACAGGTAAGTCTGCAAGTCTCTGCATGACACTCTCCCTCTCACCACAACATATGCACAAACTATTCCCAGACTGCAAATATAGCTGATTAACTGTACTCATTATTTGTTTGGCCTAAGTAAAAGTTAGGTTGTTTGGCAGAATTCAGGAAGTTGAGTTCAGCTTGTAAACCCAGAAATTCCTACTCTCCTCTCTCTCACTTAGCTAAAATCTACCACCTATTTCTTTTCCTCCCATCCTCATAAGAAATCACCATGACCAGTACAAGCTTTGTTTTTGTTTTTCTGAACAATTTAGTACCTGTCTTCTCACAGCTCACCTAAACCATTCCCAGGTGTGGATTTGCTGAGAAAAAACACAGGATCCTGGGGAATAGTTTTGATGGCTCCTATTAAAAAGTTTCACTGTGTGGGAAAGAGCCCAATACCTATCAAGTCAGAAGGTGAGTGCAAGAGGGATTCTCATTCTACATCCCCTTGGGAGCCTAAACCTCCTTCTCTGCTGAGCTGCCTTCCTCTGTGGGAAGTGCACACTTCTCCTTTAGTCAGTCTGGGGGATGTAATTTTCATCTGCAAGGTGGAGCAGTCTTGTGAGGAGACTCAGTGCCTCCCCCCAGTCTATGGATCTGGACTCCTTTCTGGATGCTGGGCATCAGGGATCTAGATGTGGCTACACCAAGTCCCTTAGCTTCCTTCAGATGGGGTTAAAACTCTTTGTACATGGTGCTGCGTATGCCCTGGTGGCATTTTAGCTGTGTTTTTAGCTGTATAGAGGTAAAAATAAAGTCTAAATATTCCCTTGACCATCTTTTCCTAAATCTGATGTGTAGGACGCTTCACCTATTTCTTAGCATTGTCAACTTCTGCTCTGTCTCCCTATTTAAAACCCTTCTCCGCTTTGCAGTGGTTTGTGATGAGAGTTCGAAGGGGCTTTCTCATTTTGGAGGATACATCCCAAAGTAGCCTTAAATGAGGCATCCAGCTCCATCAGGTGAATTTGTACATGAGGAATGTCACGGAGCCAGGCTCAGACACTGGCAGGTCTAGAGCCAACTGAATCCATCCAGAGCACTGTGGTGCAAGGGAAGCCCAGGTACAGCTCTGTCCCCCTTTCCCTTTTGTCAAATCCTTACTCTATGCTCATCTTGTCTATAATGTGCTTATGTGGCACAGCAGCAGCGCTGTGTGCACACCTGATGGGTTGGGGAGTGCAGAGGAGCATTTCAAAGCAATGAGGGATCATCAGGAGCATTTTGGCTAAAGTCATGAGAGCTCCCAGAGCACAGAGCCATGCTACTGAATTTCATGTGATCCACTGTGTTGAAATGCAGAAAAAAGCATGAGAAAAATATATCTAATGGTACTAAGGTCAGAAGGATGTAGCTCAATCCAAGGTAAAACCTGGAGGTAGGAAATACAGTAGCAGTGGAATATAAGAAGGGATTTTAAATTCTTGCAAACAAGGATACCTTTTGTGACCATGGCCCTTCCTTCTGCTATATCAGCACTCTGTCTGTAACAGCTTGGGAGTCTGAAATCAGTTTCTAAACCCTTGACCTCTTCGTGTGAAAAAGCAGCAGCAGGCGGAGGTGGATTTGCTGTGGATAAAGCTCTTTTCCACAAACTGTTTATCATTTAATATCAATCTAGGGACAAAGATAGCCATAAATCTATGTGAAGCATCTATATACTGTGTCCATTCTAATACTGAATGGGATGTCTGCCAGGCAAGTGGACTGTGGGGTGGTTGGGCTCTTACTCTGTGAAGGGTTTTGCCAGAAAACTGGGAAAATTATGTTTAGGCAAAAAATCAGATTATTCAAGTAGGTACTATAACATTTGTGTTTATCATTAAGGCTCCTATTTAAATGTAAAATATGTCATTAGCTTTTTCAATTTAGGTTATCTTTTAAAAATTTATATAAAAAAGGCAAAGAAAACATGAAATATTTTGATAGATGTGATTTCTCCCACCTTTATTCCTATTTTCCTCTCCTTGTTTAAGATGGCCAATTTGCAGATACAGTTAGGATAGAATTTGTTTTTTAATTTGGAAGGATAGAGACAGGACTGAGGAGTGGAAAGTTCAGCATCATCAAGAGATCACTTTTTTTTTCCTTTGCTGTGCTGCATTACTTCCTGCTTAAGAGTGCTTACCTTGGTCCATGAGGTGTTCTGAAATGTAAATCCCAGGGCAGGTCTGTGGCTCATTTTTCCTTATGGGCTGCCTACAGAAATTATTCTGGGGATGCAAACTCCCAGATGATCAGGTCTGATTATCTTCTAGGTATCTTCTGGTCCAGGTCTCTTCCAGATCTTTCAGGTCACTTCTGGAAAATTCCAGTTCCTCGTTTCTTGGAGATCAATAGCTAACTGCACAATGTCCACCTCCAGCCTTCAAAGGCTGTTCCCTCTCGTAGGATACCTGTCTATCTCAGTTTCTAGTAGCTTTTCTAGCAATATCAGCTACTTCTGAGCCCTGTACCAAGGAGGCCTGGGTAACTGGTCTGTTTTGTGGCTGTATGCCTGTGCTTGATGAAAAGTTATGTGCAAGAGAGTGGAAATTTGCAGTTCTGGTTAGGTGATATGCTTGTGGCATTGTAACATGAATGTATTGCTGGTCTGAGGCTCTGCTTTCCTGAAGGGAATTAGAGCCTCAGAAGAATGAGAATGAACATTTTTGAGTGTCAGCAGTTGACAACTGACCATAGCAAGGGCTCCAGGAGCCACCTTCTTCAACGCACAGAAGCAAAAAGTTCAGCAGCAGTCTCCAGCCTCCTAAAGCTCTATGACAGTAACCACTCTGGGTTTGGTGGGAAGTAATCTGAGCCTTAGGTGTTTCTTGAAGCTTGGTCTTGTCTTCCCCAGTCATATTTTGTTCTGGGTTTGGGGGGTTTTTTTTGTTTTTTTTGGTTGGTTTTTTTTTTTTTTTGGGGTGGGGGTTGATTGTGCTTTTTTTCTTAATTTATTTTTTACCCCTAGCATATTTCATTGCATTACAGGTGAAATCTAAGCAAAGTGGGTCTCAGTGATCTTCCATGTCAAGGCAGGGTCATTACAGCCTCTGATGACTTTGGTGCTGGGCAGAGTGATTCCTTGGCAGCATGGATGTCTGCTCTGACCTGTTGTCTCTTGACACTTGTACCAGAGTATTTATCTACCCCTATGGAGTGTGCTGAAGCAAAGACTTGCTCTTACATTGCTCTGTCCCTGAAATGCTGTCCTAAATTGTGGAGAAGCACAAGTTGGTCATCAGAGGAGAGTTCATGACTTCCTCCTACTGCTGCTTCTCACTTCATGTGAAAAAAATCCTTCACCTCTTCCATGACACTGCAGCAGCATTCACCTGCCAACTTGTCTGTGACCAGTGCTGCATTCTTGTAATGGCATTTCACCAGACCACCCCGTCATAACAAACAGGCATCTTTGCCAAATAAGCCATGAGACTTGTGATCTGCCTAGGGCTATGTATGTCTAGCTTTCCAGGGAGCCTGCAGGGTTTTGTCTCACTATTTTCTCCAAGCAGCAGCAGACGTCTTTCAATCCTATATTGCCCCAGCTGTTGCACTTTCTTATCTCAGAATCACCTCTTTCCTCCAGGGGTTCACATGACCCCAAACATCTGGAGCATCTGGCATACCCATGTTAGCAAGACAGGACAATCCTGGGCTCTCCAGGGTGAGTGAGTTCCTGACTTCTTGCTGCTTAGCAAGCGTGGGGCTGGGCTGCTCAATGGCTTGTTGTCTGTTGTCTGCAACGCAAGCAGCATCTCCCCCTCCCCACACCCAGACAGACCCAGATGCCAGGGTCGGCAAGCGAGGGCACCACGAGGGGACCTGCCAGCTCTGCCACTGCAGCTGCTCCCTCTGTTGCTGGCAGCTGGGCTTGAATATTCATGGCAACAAAAGATTAGCACTGTGTATGCTTGGCACTGGAGACAGATAAACTTTCTTGAGGTGCCGGTGGCTCTGTTCTCATCCCATTCAAAGAGCTTGCTCCCTCTCCCCTGCTCCACTTGTCTGCTTCATCGACCAGCTGATTCCCTTGCTGTATAAATGGCCTCTGTTGGGAAAGGGAGGCGAGCAGCTTGATTAAGTATTCAGCAAAGTGGTTCAGAGTCCAGACAAACTAGCGCAGATCTTGCCAACACTTGCACTCAATTGGCACTGAGGAAAGCCAGGGGAAAAGCTCATTTATAAATAGGCAAAATTTTGCAAGGTATCACAGTGTATTTATCAGCTGCTATCCCCTGATCAAGCAATTTAGACTTTTAAGACTATCATTACCTCTGATTTCCTCTGGGGTTTAGGGGTTTGGGTATCTAAAGAACATTCAAGGGGACTTAGACTTTGCAGTGAAACTTTTCAGTTTCATCTCACACCATGATTGATAGGTTCAAAATACTGTCTGCCACTTCTTCCTCCCTTCCCTGAACTGGTCTGAAAATGAAAAATAAACAGGGAAAACAGAAAATATCAAATTTATTATTATTATTACATTATTGATGTTGGTCAGAAGTGGAATAGGAGAAACTTTGTTATTCTTCTGCTTTTGTCATCAGGTTATTGTTTGTGAAAAGAGCCTGGAGTTGTTAGAGCATAGGACAGTTGGCAGCTTTGAAAACTGTCTCAAATGTGGGGATGACCAACCTGCACAGACAGAAAATGGGAGCTGGGAGTGTGATGTGAGTGCTCATGTGCCCATCTAGGAGATGTCCTTACTTACCCTACATTTGAACTACTCTTTCATCCTTTCTTGGTATATGCCTTGGCAGTTTTCAGGCCTCCATGGGCTGGCAGGGCTGGGCCATGTTTAGCCCAGAGCAGATTAGCTGCTCATGTTTGGAGGGGGAACCTGGAAAGGTTACAGACAATGTCTGGAGACTGAAGTAGAATGGATTACAGATGACCAAGCAAAACCATCAATGTGATACTGGTAGCTCTTTAAAAGCATTCAGAAGTTACAGGATCACAGAATCTCAGTCAGAAGGGACCCAGAAGGATCAAGTCCAGTCCTTAACTGAATGGCCCACACAGGGATCAAACCCACGTATGCAGAAACGGTTTGGCTATTGGGCTACCTTGTTCTTTCACCCAGGACTTTTTCCTTTTTCCACCCAATAAGGGTGGTGGCAGCTGGAGGCAACTGAGGTGCTTTGGTGCTTCAGTGGTTCTGCTGGGGCTGTGGTGCTGCAGCTCTCCTTGGGGAACCATGTTGCTCCCATCACATTTTGTGCTGAGAGTCAGACTGCCCAATTCAGGCTGATCTCCCTCTCCCCAGTACTTTATATTAAATGTCACACTTTCACACTGTAGTATTATTCTGACCCCCAGATGAGTGCTTTGTCAGAGTCAGCTTTTGGTAAATAGAGCAAACCTATCCCCTCGAACTGAAGAGAGAGTATCTTTTTCAGTCAGTGGAGCGAGAGCAAATAATCTGAGCTGTTCCAGCTCTCTGATTTAGGCTGAGGTGAACCATACTTTAGAAGTCCCTGATCTTTTTGGGTGTTAGAAGGGAGTCCAGTCAATGAGATCAAATATGGACATCTGTGCTCTAGAAGGGTACAGCAGCTAAACTGATATCTCCCTCATCCAGGGCCAGTAACACCCCAAGGATCATCAGCATCTCCAAAACTGTCTGGGGCCAGAGGGGTGGGCCATGTTCATGCTCTGAAGAACTGTGCATGTCATGGCTCAGCACCCTGTAATGTCGTCTTGTGCTGACAGCAGAGACTTTTCTACCTCTTCCCCAGGGCACCATATAATGAGGCTTTGGGGACCCAGCAGTAAATGCATGTCACAAAAGGCTACCTGATGGTGTCTGCTCAAAGTAGCCAAATAATTATCTCACTTTGGCAAACTACACAGGTCTTCAACTCACCACAATATTAATAGTTTATTATTTGCTGTTGTGTGGGAAATGAGAATAATTTTGAATTTTCAATAATTTGCTAGAAAATTAATTTCTGATGCCAAAAGCAAGGCCGCTGTATTGATAACCAT